AAAACTGATTGTGGCGCTGACGGCCCTGTTAAGAGTGGTCAAACAAAGTATTTCCAACAAAGAGTGCATTCTAGTTAATAAATAATCATTATTAATATTATTTTTATATTTTCAGTAGTACAGGACAAACCATACCCGAGACAGCATCACACACAGGTTCCATTTACTTCAATAACGTACTGAATTTTACAATCAACCAATACCACAGTAGTGTACATGGGCCAGAGCACAAAACATAGAGAATGCTTGTATTATTATTTTTATCTATCACACTGACTGAAGAAGAGACTGAAGCACTGAGGACAATAAGACAACCTGACCTGACACTACCCCAAAGTTCCTTAAAGTACCTCAATAATACCCCAATAATACCATCAACACCCCAGTCTGACCTGACCACAGGTGACCAGCAGCCCAGTAACACAGATTTAAAGAACTACACTGGTACTTTTTCATATTTTAGCATCAGAGGAGATACTAAAGATTAACAGGGTCAAAATATTTAATAGATATCATAATTAAACTCCCCCAGCTGATTGGTTACATTAAAACAATTATTTTTTAATTAAATGTTCTCTGAAAATTGTGTTTTAAATATGCAAATAGGCATTATCTGAGTGAATATGTGCTATTTTGCATTATTTTCAAAACAGAAATCTGAACATTATATCAAGCCAAGTTCAAAATTGTTGTTTCATACTGTTAACATAATAGAGTCAGGTTTTACAGAGGGAATTTTGAATATCTATTTCAATCGTAAATCAGAAGTCACTGTCATCAGCCATAAAAAATAAATAAAAAATCAATTTTCACCATGTTTTTAGGATTAAAATGTTCTATAATATAATAACACAACAATACTAATTTTGAGAAAATGGCCTTTCAAGATATGTATACAAAAGTGGTAAAAATGTGCAGGGTAGTTAACGTCAAGAGGCAAATAACCTTTTGATCCCATTTGAATTGGATAATTCTGCAAGTCAATAGAGTCGCAGTTTGTTGTCACGTCATGTCTCGTCAACGAAAATGAAACCAAGGTCTATTTTTAGCTCCTCATCGTCACGTTCTCATCATGGAAAAAAGGTTGTTGACGGAAAAAATTTCGTCATGGTTTTCGTCAATGACATTAACACTGGTTCTGGGAGAAGGGAGTGAATTGTACCAAGGTAACAGCCCTCTTGGTGTTGGTGACGTATATCATCCGAGACGAGAGATGGTAATTCACTGAGCGATTTCACACAAGAACATCATGTGTATTTCACAGCACAGTTTAAATGGGATCAAAACAGTATTAGTCTGCTGTACAGTTTTTCCAAAATAAGGTCCCATGGGAGACACCAGAGGGGGAGGGACTTTGCCTCTGTATTAGTCACATATAAGAATGAACCAAAACCTTTGGCTGTTGTAAAAATTAATCGCTTCAGGAAATCGTTGGCAGAGATGTTCACACTTGGGGGCTACAACATGAAAAACCACCAAGTCTAATCCTTTAACTTGCACCAACTAGGCCTAATGGTACCAAACCACAGCACCTGAAAGTATTTGGAGAACCCAACCTGAAACTTCATCCAGAAACACTCCAGCAGTGACCCAGAACCCTCAAAGAAATCACTACTGCTATCCTCCATTTTTAATACATCCTCCTGAGACCCTGTGTTCTAATATGAGGACATCATATTCTGGTTTCGCTGCACCTTATACTTTGTTCTACTTGGATCTGTCGTCCTCGTTCTTGGACACTTTTCAAGATGGCAGCCACCTCTGCCAAGTCAGTCTGTAGCCGATCCCGACACAAAAGTGGACAAGGTCCAAAACCTGATCACATTTTATGGTTGTAACATGTTTTGTTTATAATTAATAATGTTTGTAGTTTGATATGGCCAATGTTGACCAATTTTAGTGACAGTAACTTTTATAATCGTCTTGTTTGAGGACATTGGGACCAATTAGGTGCGACAGACGAAAGGATATTCCTAGCTTTGAGTATGGATCAAGGAAAAGTCATGTAGAGGCTTTAAATGAACAAATTTTTAGAATTGTCGCTTTATTTTTAATTTAGTTTTTGCACAACAATGTTCAAGTGATCAGTTTTATACTTTATTACACGCTCCAAAACTACTTCCTGTTCAAAAACAGTGTTTAGTTTTTTATACTTAGCAGATCCGACTGATCCCAAATAGCTAGGAGACATTAAAATGTACACCGGACAGAAGCTGAGGTCTCAGGAGGATATACCCATTTAACTTTGCACTCACAGACAGTCAGGGGAGTAAAATATTTTTAAAAGCCACGCTCACAGGTAAACTGAGTGGCCTTGGCTCTGTTTTACACTTCAAAATGATCCTAATCCCTTTTGGTACTTTAGCGTTTCTCCATTTGCCTTGAGACTGCAATCAGAATCTTCATTGTTACCTTGTGAGCTATTACCCTAATTATTGATAATGACTTTGATTATCACCTAATTTGAGTGAGATCTTTAATTTCAGAGAGTAGATAACCAGTTCTACTCTATGAATACACATTTTGGGGACAGGAATAGGAACACAAAGTCTTTGCTTTGTCAGCTCGAGACCTTACAACCTCACTACAGGTCCAAGTTTGGATCCTGGGTGCAGAAAATTACAGTCAGCAGTTACAGTTCTGGGCCACACTAGAGCTTTGACACATGCGCACACTAGCACATGTGTTCGTGTGAGCAACAAGATCACGAGGCTGAGATAACATCACTGACTAAACAAAGGGGGTGTTTGGGCACGTGGTCGCAATTCCCGACAATAAACTGCGATTAATGTAACACGAGAAGGAATCCTGTCATCTGTGCTGACGGACGGCGAATCTCACTCTGCAAAACAACTTAAGAATTACATAGTATTCAATATATAATGAGATCTATACAACGATTTCATGCATTATTATCATGAGTACTTTGAAAACTCTTGAGAGCTCCAGTTGTCCTGTTGCTGCAGGGCCTTCTCTGGTCTGCAGAGGGCGCTGTTTCACACAGGATCAGTTAGAATAGCAGGCAAGGCGTCCTACAGGTCAATTATATCACTCTAACAGGAAGTTTTATATTTGGCTCTGTTCATAAAAAAACTCTTAATTCAGATATCTTGACACTGATAATATATTTAGACTACTTTTATTTTGGGGAAATGATTTAACGTTGTAAGCAACTTTCGATTTCCTCCTCTGCACTAAAACTTCGACAAACACATGTTCAAGAAAATAAGTTTTATGCACCACAAAATTTCACTCCACACGTTCACACATTCTCACACAGACCCACACATCTCTCATGCACGCTAACACACACACACACACACACACACACACACACACACACACCAAAACTACATATTCTCTGATGGCGAGTGTACGTGAACCAAAACACAGACACTGCTACACACCGACATGGCTGGCATGGTTACTATCTACATCAGGGCCCTTAGTGACCAACATCCACCCATCCCTGTCCCTGTCACCATGGTAACAATTTCACCCCCCCCTCCCTCCCTCCCTCCCTCAGTGGCAGGATTGCAGGATCAATGAATTAGCCAGCTAGCGATCCTCAACATCCCACAAACAGATTTTTCTTTTTGCCTGAGACTGCACTGACTCTTCCAGCGTCCTGATGTCGCTCGCTGAATAAAAGCTCACCCGTCGCCCCCCCCGGCTCTGTGATTACATAAACTCCTATAGACATTAACAACATAGTAGTAACGTGGTAATCAGATGTTATTCAGAAAGACAGCAATAAGAACACAGGGCAGTTTGGCAGCTTCTAAAACGTAAACATAAACAGACCTGACTTACCCAGAGTCTCCCCGCTCGACCCAGTTTATACACACGACACCCAACGTAGGACACTGTCTCAAATCACACACTGCATACATTCCCTGGTACCATGGACGGATTATGACACAATGGGCCCCTGGGCACGGACAGGTGTTTTTTTTTTACCCCATCCTTCTTAGTGGGGTTCATTTTGTTACTCTTTGTAGTTGTTTTGTGTCTCTTTGCTGTCATTTTCTGCCTCTTTGTGGTGGTTTTGCGTCTCTGTGGTCATTTTGAGTCTTTTTGTAGTCATTTTGTGTCTCTTTTTAGTTGTTTTTTGTCTCTTTGTGGTCGTTTTCTGTCTCTTTGTGGTAGTTTTGCATCTGTATGGTCATTTTGAGTCTCTTTGTAGTTTTGTGTATCTTTGTGGTTGTCTCTTTGTAGTTGTTTTAAGTCTCTGTAGTTTTGTGTATCTTTGTGGTTGTCTCTTTATGGTTGTTTTAAGTCTCTGTGGTTGTTTTGTGTCTCTTTGTAGTTGTTTTATCTCTTTATAGTTGTTTTTTGTCTCTTTGTGGTCATTTTCTGTCTCTTTGTGGTGGTTTTGCATCTGTGTGGTCATTTTGAGTCTCTGTAGTTTTGTGTATCTTTGTGGTTGTCTCTTTGTAGTTCTTTTGAGTCTCTGTGGTCATTTTTTGTATCTCTATGGTCAGCTTACATCTCATGGTTGGTTTGCATCTCTTCATAGTCATTTTGTGTTTCTTTGTGGTTGTTTTGCATCTCTCTGTAGTTGTTTTGAGTCTCTGTGTTTGTTTTGTAAATCTTTGTGGCCAGCTTGCACCTCTTTGTGGTTTGTTTGCGTCTCTTTGTAATGGTTTTGAGTCTCTTTGTCGTCATTTTGAAACTCTTTGTGGTGGTTTTGTGTCTCGTTTTAGTTGTTTTGTGTCTCTTTGTGGTCAGCTAGCATGTCTTTGTAGTTGTTGTGTCCCTCTTTGTGATGGTTGTGTGTCTCAGTGGTTGTTTTGTATCTCTTTGTAGTCGTTTTGCATCTCTGTAGTCATTTTGTGTCGATTGGTGGTTGTTTTGAGTCTCTCAGGGCAGTTTGCATCTCTTTGTAGTGGTTTTGAGTGTCTTTGTAGTCGTTTGAGTCACTTTGTAGTCATTTTGCATCTCTGCCGTTTTTTTGCATCTCTTTGTGGCCATTGTGCGTCTTTTTGCAGCTGTTTGTGTCTCTTTGCAGCTCTTTTCGCCTCTCCTTGTGGTCATTTTATATCACCTTATTGTCAGTCTTGTGTCTCTTTGTACTTGTTCAGTTAACTTTCCACTAAGAAATGATAAAAGCCACTTCAAACAGAGGCTCTGGTCCAGAGGCCCCCTGACACCTTGGGTCTGTACCCAGTAGACCCATGGCTCAATAATCCATCTCTGCCTGGCACAGAAAAATAACAGAATGAAAAGTGATTCACTGTGGATTAAAGTTTCCCCAATAAAACTGACCGCTCTCACATGAATGAACCAGAATCACGCAGATTCAGCCATCGTGACAATGTGCTCAAGGAATATTTTGCACTGTAACAGTTTTTCTTTAAAGTGTGTTAAAAATAATGATTCCACTACACTGAGGAAGACCATAAACACTTGAACAGATGCTATAAAGACTTGCTGATGAAGCTTTTATGAATGAAAAGTTCTCTCAGGATCTGTTAGATTGTGATATATATATAACATCCATATCTTACAAACGTCAGTCAGGTTGGATCGGCAATTGCGGTCTGGAAATTTGCCTGAGATTTGTTGCACAATTCAAAGTCTAGTACGTAATTTGAGACAGTGTCTAAAGTTGGTCTAATCTGACGGTAACTAGCCTACCTACAGTACAGTATATAACTACCTACAGACCTACATAAGAATGTGAGATATTGCACTTAGTCACAAAACGTTGTTGTCTTTTTTTACAGCATGTGGAAATCTACTAAATTAAGTCACTGTCTGAGACACACAGTACAGTATGGCACTTAGTTGATCTCTAAGTTTGGAAACATGCAGATTCAATACACATGATCACTTTAACTGCAGCAGGGGGAAAGGGGGAGGAATGACCGGACCGTACTGGAGCTAAAAAAAGAAAAGTAAATAGAAAACAAAAAGAAACATTCCCCGTCCTGTTTGGTATGAAAGGGGATTTTGACACTTGAATAAATGGAAAGAAAAGATGAAGATGCTGTACGTGAGTGCCTTCTGCACTATTTTTATCTAACACTGCTTTGTGGCGGAGTCACTCACTTGTTGATCCTTTCATCTCTTTTTTTTTTGTTGTCAAAACGGCAGTTAAATACTGCAAAGTGGCCTCCTCCTCCTCTACATTTCCTCCTCTTGTTTTCTTTTTCTCTCATCTGCTCTGATCTGAGGACACTGGATTTGCGAAAGTAGGAAGCTGATGGCGAGAAAAGTGCAGATGAAGCTGGAATGTTAAGGAAGGAAAGGGAACGAGAGGAGGGAACAAAGAAGGAGAGGCCTTTTTTTTTTTAAACAATTATTGAAAACTCAGCCCAGATCGACACATAAACGACTGCATGTGTAACATCACAGAAAGCAATTTGCTATCACTTTCCTCTCATCCATCTCCCAACCTTCCTCTCCCACCATCAGGTCTATCCTCTCTAGTAAATGGGAACCTGGTATGTGGGTGCTGCGTTGTTCTCGGTGAATGGCGGGGACTGGTAGGTCTCTGTGGTCTCGGTGGTGCCGGCTCCTGGTGAATTGGATGGGTACGGCTGGGTGGGCGCGCCGCCGTCCATGTGCTCCGTGGTGAACAGAGTCATGTCTGTGCCGAGCAGATACTTCTGGACCGCACGCACTGTTAGACCGGCCTGCAGGGGGAAGAGAGGGGGCAAGAGATGGAAAAGATTAGGAGACAACAACGTCACAAGTCAAAGTAAGCCAGACTGACTCATGAAAGACCAGTTTTCACAGCCTGATATTAGTCAGACACGTTTAAAATAGTTTGTTTTATAACATGTAATTGCCACCACAAAAATAAAGTTAGCTTTGCTTGCTTAAAAGGAAAAGTTTGACAGGGTTAGATGAGAAGATTGATACCACTCTCACAAAATACAAGACAGCAGCCAACTGACACTTCGCTAGTCCCCTGGACACAGACTGGCCAATCATGGGTCCGACAACAACACAGCTGTGCTCCACTGACTCTAATGCAGTCGTTTCAGATTTCCTTCATTTTCAGGCTGGTTTTGTGGATTTGGAGCTAAATGTTGTGACTGGGGCACGTCGTGTATTAATGATACTCGTTACCTGGAGAGGTTGGAAAAAGATATACGTTTCTTCCCTGTTCCAAAACCAAAATCAAACCCTGAAAAGTGTAGGGTTAGCTAGCTAGCTACTGAAGATATAGCCTACTGAATGTATACACATGCTGCTTTTGCTTTGTAATGATTATAACAGTGAAACAAAGACCGACCCTGCTGTACAGGAACCAGTGAAGGGAAGCAGGGAAACTTTGCTGATGTTCAACCAGCAGTGTGTCATCACATGAACGGAGATCCTTGCCCGTCCAGGTGCTGGCAGCAGCAGCACGGGGGTGAAGCCAAACACTGTTCATCTGCACACACTGTGATGCCACACAGCTGGTTGAATATCAGCAAAGTTTCCCTTTATATTCATTGTCTTGTGTGGCGATCAGCAGTGATGTGGTGGTTCACTTTTACACTGTGATCTGTAGCCTATAGCTCGGCTTTAGCTTCCAACTATCTTTGTCTTTTTAACCTGTTGTTGCTGCTGAGTCAGTTTGACATCCTGGATATATCCTTCAAACACAGACTGTAGACCCCTCTGTCTGCTTCTCTCTGGAATCACTCTTTCATTTCTCCAATTTCTATATTACTACCATCACAAGGGGGCAGGGCTTAGCAAAAGGTCAATTAGCTTAGCTTAGCATGAAGACTGGACATAAGGGGAAATAGCTAGCATATTGTTGTTCTTCCACTTTTGATTTAAAGGTTCTGTACGTGACATTCAGAGCATGTTTATGGCAACAAGCAACTATTTGCTATGTGACGATATAGTGGAGTATTTCTGTCACGAGCAGAGGATGAAGTCATGCTACCTCTCTGTGTGGTGCAGTTGTAGCTTCTCTGTTTGTTGCTGCAGTAGACGGTTGGTCCAAAAGTCACTTAAAGTTGCCTGATGATGCAAGGCACTCATTTGCATATTGGTGACATCATCGCACATTGATTTGCAAATAGGATGATGGGAGCATTACTATATTGCTCAATAACATTCAACAGAAACATCATCAACAAAACATTTGAATGACATGCGCTTCCAATCCAGAGAGCAAACACGTCAGTGTAACCATAGAAACACACTACAACTGTACTCCCACTCCTACAGCAAGCGGTGACTCCTCTCCTCCTGCCTGTCACTCACCTTTTGAGTGCCTGCTTAGTGCTGCTGCGTAAAATGAGAGAAGAGGAGAGAACCTGCACTGTTGGCAGGAGACCCATATACTGTGATTACTCTGAGCATTATGTATGGGAATTGATTGCAATGTGATATATTTATCACTTCCTTCCTGATGGCCTTTATAAGTCACTTAGGGTGCTTTCAGACCTAGAGTCGTCTCCTTTGGTCTGAATCAGGGACTAATTTTGTCACAAAGTTGTATAATTGCCTAGAGTTGGTTCGTGTTCTCACGGCAGCATTTACAAGAGGACCAGATCAAATGCCTTGTGTGAGAAAGCTGCTCTTGATTGGTCAGAATTTCCATGTGGGAAAAATCCAGGAAGTAAAGCAAACGTTGAAGAAGAGTACACTTGCAAGATAAATGTGACACTTTCTAATGTCACAATGGAGGGACAACTACGCAGGTTGATTTTAGCGCTGCTCATCGTGGACTATATTGCTGTCATTGTTCATTTTAGTCAAACCATACAGTTTGAAAACGAGGCGCGGCTCCAACTAGAAAACAGTGTTTTGATGCATTGGATGTGCTGAATGTGCATATTAAGGCAGTACAGGAGGAGGTGCACATTAATAATCCTCCAGGACTGTAACATGCTCATGTTTAACCCAAACAATGTGTCATGTGACTGCAGTTGGTTCAGATCCAGGTCGGAACACGTTCTCACCACAAACGAACCGCACCAGAGTTCAAGAAGGTCTTGGTCTGGTTGTTTTGGTGCACACCCGAGTGCTGCTAAAACGAACTGCACTTAGGAGGCAAACAAACTTGAGTTTGACTGAACTGATCCAAACAGGGCAGGTGTGAAAGCACTCTTAGTTTGTCGCTAGTCTGTCCATCCATTTTCTATAACTACTTCTAAGGGTTGTGGAGGGGCTGGAGCTGATCCCAGCTGACATTGGGCAAGAAGTGGGGTTCACCCTGACATGTTGCCAGACTATCACATCTAACTTGCATGTCTTGAAGCCAGAGAACCTTGAGAAGAGCTATGCTAATGCTAGGAGTATATGCAAACTCGAACTAGAAATAAAGTTGCTAAGAGGAAAAGTCGCTAAATCTAGTGAGAAAGACATGAAGTTGGCAGCACTGGTGCATCCCACTGGCTAGCTAATAGTCGCCACTCTGCACTGCGCTCATACAGTGTTTAACATTATTGCTGATATCGCTGTACCAACTCACGGTGGCAGAACGCCCCTCCCACCCCTACATTAACACTGTTAGCTCTGTCAGCACTGTTGCCATTGTTTTGGAAACCTTTTGAATGTACTTTACACATTATAGCTTGTGCGTTTCATTAGTATAAAAACTGAAGTGTACAAATTACAATTTATGCCAATATTTTTTGGCTGGGAGAAGCAATTTCATTTAAGAAATCAGGATTTGTCGCACACGATGTATTGCTGCTCCCGTGCTTTATTCCCACACCAAACAAATAAGCAACGTTTCGCCTCACGCAGGAGGCTTCATCAGGCTTACAGAGTAAAGGGCAGTCCCTCTTTTTATAGCATGTCCTCCAATAAGAGCCGATTGAAATAAGTTGATTCGGAGGATGTGCATTCTTTATATTTGTTTCACTAGAAGCAATTTCATTGCCTGATATCAGACAGAGCTATCAACTCGTTACACTCGTTCCCATCAATCGGTCAACTCAAACTCAGTGGAGTCTGGACCAGCTGATGTGTGCCCACCCATCAGGCAAACAGCCATTTAAATATATATGAGAGTGTGCTCACGTCCTCCTTTGTGGCCTGCCCATCTGCCTGATAGTGCACCCACCTCATTAGCTACCTTCACTGTTGCCATTGTTAGCACTGTTTGCACTGTTAGCACCGTTAGCTGCTAGCTGCCAGCTCAGCCACCTCTGCGTTGAGAGCTTTGGGTTTGTTACCTTTGGACAGAGCCAGGCTAGCTGTTTCCCCCTGTTTCCAGTTTTACATGCTAAGCTAAGCTAACCTGCTGCTAGCTGTAGCTTTGACAGACAGATATGAAAGTGGTATCAGTCTTCTGACCTAACTCTTAGCCAGAAAGTGAATAAGGGTATTTCCCAAAATGCAGAAGTATTGCTTTGAGTGTAAATGTTTAGACAGTGATGATGATGCCTCTAAACTCACAGACCTCTTAAACTACTGAAAGTATGAAAGCATAAAGTTATTGAGGACCATTCACCAGATGCTCAACCAATTTCTCACCACGCTTTAGTCAGAAACAGGTCACTGCTACAAGTTTAGGTCATGGATGAATAATCAAAGGGGCCCACCAGTCACTGGGGTTCAACTGCTCAGGCTGCCTCTAATCCACTGCCTGTGTTTGAAGTGTTATTAACCTTTCTCTTTTGTAAAAGTCACATGGGCTCAGTCAGATTGTCCTGATCGTGTTTATCCACCTCGGCTCAATACAAACATATTGACATATATTAGAATATAACACAAATTCAGTGTGTCATAGTATTTTGTATCTGAGTAGAGGAGCTTTAGAGAGGAGACACACAGCCTCTCTTTGTCTCCAGTGTGACAGAAGCTCTTTGAAGTCATGGTTGACCTGCCAGATGTGGTTGAAAAATATGAAGAAAGAAAAAAGAATACAGAGGGTGTTTTTTTTTTTTTTTGCTGTTAGGTGGGAGGGGAGGTTTCATCTGTGCCCAGGAGCCCAGATCGTCTCATAATCTGTCTGTGGTTTAAGTGATATTGAACATTTATTCAACAGATGCGTGTGTTTTCTGCATTCCTGAAGTAAAAACCTAAAAAACAATGGTGCAAACACTTGTTCTGTAAGGTGCAGGAATGGTTCACATTAATATTTCAGTGATGGAGAGCACCTGTCAGTCCTCTGTTATTATTATAAAGGCTGATCCGCATTAACAATAACCCTCACTCAAGCGAGTGCTGACTGAGCATTTCCAGACCTTAAAAGGCAACTTCGGTATTTTTCAACCTGGACTCTATTTTGCCATGTTTTTGTGTCTCAGACTAATGGGAGCAACTATTTTCTATATTAGTCCAGGACTGAGCTCGAGCGCTGCACCCGGGAATGGCTAAACAGGCTACAATGTAACCTCTACGTCCACTAAACGTGCTTGTTTTTGCCACTGACAGGCTCGGATTGTTATTTTAAGTGTCTGGCAACATAATAGAAAGGATCCCTACAGAGATAGACCTTTTAAGTAAAAAGAAAGCGTGTTTTTGTTTAACCAGAAACAACCCCAAAATCTTCAACACCAAAGCCACCACACTCCATTCAAATAAGGAGTAATTTTAGTGTGTATAGAGGCAGCATATGTTCACATCTAACTGGGTGAATTAAGGGTTTATTTCAACCAAACCAGAGCTGTTTCTGTCAACTTTGAATGGAGTGTGTTTTATGATGATAAAATTACTATTTATCCAAATGGAGTCTGGTGGCTTTGGCAATGTCTAGCTCAGGGTTGTGACTGGTTAAACAAAAAAAATTTCTCTAACAGAAAGTTCTGTCTCTGTAGACATTAGGGATGAGCAAGTACACTATTATCTTTATCTATATTTGTTCAACCAACTAAATGATCTGTATGCATATTTGTACTCAGACTGCGCGTTTAAAACAGAAAAGGGAGGGACTTAAACAAAAAAATGGCAGGGACCTAAGCAGAAATTGCCTCCTGAGACCCTGTGTCTTCATACGAGGACGTCACATTTTGGTTTTGCTGCATCATATAATTTATTCTGCTTAACTTAGACCTCATGTCCTTGTTCATGGACATTTTTTGTGCTAGTGGTAGTAAGAGCACAATACACTAATACATGTAAAAACAAGATGGCAGCCATCTCTGCCAAGTCAGTCTGCAGCCGATCCCGACACAAAAGTGCACAAGGTCCAAAACCTGATATCAAATCTTATGATTGATTGATTGATTGATTTTTATTTATTTACGTGTCATGCCGCAAGTGGCCCATCCCACACGGGATTACATGACACCAATGAAACATAGAAAAAACATTTCATATGTGACTTCCGGTACACATAACAAAATTCAACTTTACATAACCACAACACAAAAAAAAAAAAGAAAACAAAACGAGACATAATCATCTGTACAATGCCATACTTCTTTTAACCCAGGCCTTTTCTATAAATTCTGCAAATAAAAATGTTTTATGTTCAAATAACCATGCCAGCAAATCTGTATCCTGTCTCATCTCTTCCACTTCCAGTTTGTTAAATAGCTTTACTCTTAAATGTTGAAACAAAATGAACTTCGTTTTCAATTTCATTTAGATCACATAAAAAACAAAATCTGTCATCCTCATTTGTTCCAATCCAACGTCCTGTTTCAATATGCAGAGGAAGAATACCTGACCTGAACTGGGCACACAATGATCTTCTCCTCTTAGACAAATTATATTTAACATAATTCTCTACACCAAACTCATTTTTAATCCAACAAAAAATTCTAAGTTTTGGTTTGTTCCAAACCTCAATGGTCCACTTCTGTTTTAGCTGCTGAGAAACAATCTCTTTAGTCATTTCAATATCTACCTTCTCCCTATAAATATAAGATTCCTCAAAACCTGTCTTCTGAAATAATGTGTGCATAGGTTCAGCCCAAGGTCCACCCATCTGCATGTCCCACAATAACATTTTCTTACAAAGTCTACTGTAACTCATGCCGAGAAATCTATTCCATAATCTACACATACACACCACCCATCGAACTTTGCAAGGTTCCCAACCCATATCTCCAGTGATTGCTAGAATGGGTGCATACTTACTACCTCTTAAAAAATACCTAATAGCTCTATTATAGTTGAAACTTGTTTAGTTATGTTTTATGATGTTTGTAGTTTGATATGGCAACAGATTTGACTATATTTAGCAACAGTAACAAGCTAAGATGCTGTTAATGAGGAAGTACTCATTTGAGGACATTGGGAATTGATTATCATCTTGTCGACGGACATTGGGACTTGATTGTTGCAGCATTTCACACAAGCCAATTAGGTGTTACAGACTGTTCGTACAGACAAAAAGGATATTCCTATCTTGGAGTATAGAGCACAGAATTACAAAATGAACATATCAGTTTAGGTTTTGCACAGCCATGTTCAGCCACTGAAATGAAATGCGTATTATTATTATACGTATCAGATCCCACTAATCTCCAATAGCTCGGATAAAATAAAAATGCATAGCAAACAAAAGCTTGGGTCTCAGGAGGTTAAGCCTGACTTTGATATGGGTTGATCAGAAGTTGCTATAGTTACTTTTTTCTGGAAAACTATTTACAGGACAAAATCAGGATTGAGCTTTAGATCATTAACCACAACAGTAAGAGACAGAACACAGCTACCCAAATAAGGATGTTGTCAAATTTTACTCAAATGATACTAATGAAAGTACATTATCCATACCAGATACTTTTTTTTTCCAAATACCTGACCCAACCCTGGTAGAGATCCTTTTCATAATGTTGTCAGAAACTTAGGTTAATAAACTGAGCCTGGCAAAATCAAGCACTTCTATTGGATGAAAAGTGACAGTGCATATTCCCCCAAGTGGTTACATTGCAGTCTGTTTCACCACTGCTGGGTGCAGCCCTCTGGCTCAATACTGGCCAAATTCAAAAGATGGTTGTCACAAAAATATGGGAAAATAGGGTACAGGTTGAAAAATATTAAAGTTACACTATCCATAAAAAGGTATGAAGGTAGGTAATTCCATTAAAATAGTTTTGTGTAACAATATGAACATTTGTTTCCGTGTGTGCCTCTGTAGTTGCATGTTCTTACCCAGGTGATTATGGAGAAGAAAGAGAAGGCGATTGCAGCCCGGGCTGCGTCCGCCCCCTGGTTGAGTGGCAGCTCGTCAGGTGTGGTCCGAGACCACTGATTGGCCAGGAAGCAGAAACTTACAAAGTACAGAAAGGTCCAGAAACCTGCCAGAGAGAGACCAGCGGAACAACAGCAACACTTTACTACAACAGAGAGAAAGGTAATTTCCAAGTTAACTTCCCACATCAAACACAGGCAGGTGTTGGTTTCTCAAATCTGGGACAACTGAAGCTCTTCTTTGTTCCTTTTAGAAATTAAAAATATTCACGTCTCTATTACTTTTCATGTGAGTTAACAGGTTTCATTTCTCTTGATGTCTGGTTGTGCAAGACCGCTTTCATCTGAAACAAAGAAGCAGGTCTCGTTGGGCTGTTTTTTTGGTATTTTGGGGAAACCCAGTCTCACTAAGTACAAAACACCCAAGGGCAGATGTGTCTTGCACTTCCTGAGTCTTGGAAAGTCATAAGAAAACATATTTATGTCGACTCTGTTTGACTGTACGTGTTAATAAGTCCTTCTCACCTGAGAAGCCGATCTCAAGCATTATAGCCTTCTTCCTGTCTTTGACAGAGCTGATGGAGGAGAACTTGAAGTCGAGCAGGAAGAAGAAGGAGCACGCCAGCAGGCCCACCAGGCCCACGAACACACCGTAGTTGCACGCGTCTCCATTCTTATTGAAGACACAGTGGAGACGCTCGCTGCCCATGTTCACATAACCCTCGTTCACGATGGAGGCGAAGACCACCAGGGAAAATATCTGTGTGCGGGGACACAAGAGGAAGAGGAGGATAAAGATATTATCATTCAAATTTAATTCTCCCACTGTCTTCCTTTCTTTCCACACAAACATTGTTGCAGACTCACTGGAAACAGGACTGCAGCAGCACTACTCGAGAGCGCCTCTTTGAGCATGCTCACACCAAAGGCATTAACCTCATTTCCCCTCTTTCTCCCTGACTGACTGAAGAGGTGGATGCTTCACTTCCCCGCGAGAATCACATCGTCCTGAGGCGGTGCATATACCAGAACAGGAAGTGTGATAAAGACTGCTGTAGCTCGTGCTATGTATTTTTTTTTGTCTTTTATTAGTTGATCCCATTTTTATGAATAACAGCCTTCTTTAGGTCTGATCTGTAGATCTGTGTTTCCTCCTACCTCTGCTCTGGACTCGCATACTGACACTGATCAGCTGACTAACACTCAGTGGCAGAATAGGGCCATGTGACACACACACACACACACACACACAAGCAGAAATGCACTCACACTTGGGGGTGTGGGTCATATGATGGTGGAGGGACACACAATGGGATAATGTCCGGTCCACATTTCAAACTGATCACATGTGTGGATATAATCTGAACAGACACACACTCAGGTGCCTTTTAGTGAATCAACATGATAAAGCTGCTTATGTATCAAAGTCATGCATCACTGAGTTCTTTGCATGATTTTAATAACTGCATAATGTGTGTGTGACATTTTTACTCCTGCTTCGTTAATAAACAGCAACTAATTGTGGTCACAGGGGATTCAATTAGTCGAGAAGCAATAGTAAAATGTTAATAAAAAGTCATTCCTTTCCCTTTATGGCCCAAAATTGTTCATAGTTTCAGTAGTTAACTACACAAAAATGGCAGCAACAAAAAAAAGTAATTTGAGCTCTGGAGGAGGCAAACCCGACTCTCCACCACAGGGCTGTAGGCTACACACAAGTCTTAAAATGTCATGTTGTGTTATTGGGAGCCAGAATAGAAGGAGTCATGGCTCAAAACCTAAATTTGAACACATACCAGCTGCTGTTTACTTGTTTAAGTTACGCTCACAGTCCCAGAGAGTGAGTGACCTCACATGGTGCATTTGTAAATTCAGTCTGACACTCTACACTAAAATGAGAGCCCTGTTGGTTGAAGACATGGAGCGTTATATTTGTATATGAATTAACAAAGGGTTAAGCTAATCACACTTTCACTCCGCTCGGCACTCTGCTGCTCCGTCTCCACAGACAGAGTGCAGAGAGTGTGGTGCTCTGAATAACCGAACGGTACATTCAGACAGCGCTCTGAATTTACGAATGGTCCAGTTTGTGCCAGAGTGCGCTCAGACACTCTGAGTATTTCTGAACGCACCTCCGCATCATCTTCCTCCATTGTCTAAAACAAGCCAACAAAACCTGCTAGCTAGCACTAGCTAATGTCTGCGGAGAATTGTTCTGCCTCCAGCTAAGCCCCGCGCACAAAAAACATCACACTACATACATTTACTAACAGTAAAAGATTTGTTCTTTAGCAGGCAAATAGGAATCACCACAGAGCATGTGCAGTGTCACGGTTCTGTCCCTTGTTTCTGATTGAGGCAATCTGAAATGTTACAACTGCCCCCGGTCTCCCCTACCATACTGTAAGTATGTTTTGCTGACAACACTTTTGTACTTTTACTTGAGTGGGATTTTGTTTCAGATTCAGACAACTTTACCGATCCCAGAAGGGGCAATTTATTTGCAGCTCACCTCATCCAAACATTCAAACACTCAAAAGAATCTGAGCAGTGGTGTAGTGGTAGTTGATGAGGTGGGTGTACTACTAGGTAGATGGGTGGGTTACTGAGGAGGAAGTGGGAACACTTCTCTATATATCCTAATGGCTTTTGGGCTGATCGGTGGGTAAACAGACAGGAAAAGAAGTGGATATACCCCCTGTACCAGTACCTTCCACCACACCACTGGATCTGACTTCCACCAGCATGAATTTAAAAATGAGGCATGAATCATAATCTAGATTGTAAAGGGAAAAATACACCAACAAGCATCAAAATAGGCAATTAAACTTTAAATCACATTAGCCCAAACTGTTAAAAAGTGCCTATTTGTATCCAGAGGTCTCAGTAGTAAATCATGTACAACCTCTCCATCACCTACACCAGAAAAATCCAAATATATATTTTTACAATCAATCCACCCACAGGCACCGGATACTCATTAATTATTCACACACATCTCACGCTCCTAAACAGATCCCCTCCTCTGTGTGTTTCCCCGCACCGTTAAAAGAAAACCTTCCCTGTGTCACCCAAAGGTGATGCGTTCCATCAAACGTCAGGGCACGACGCGTCTCCGTGGCTCTGCGTGCGTAATGATGATCGCGGACCAATCACAGGTAGGATGACGGACGACGACCGTTTAGGGTAAATCAGCAAAATCATTAGCTGAAAATATGATTGGCGACATAAACGGAGACGGTGTGTGTGTGGTGAATATACGGTGGATATTTGAGGGGAATAAAAATAATAGTTGACATGAATAACAGGAAGCAGGAGGCTGAGGAATGAGACAGATATGGATCTGCCTTTTTACACACAATCCGGTTTGCTACACATCAGAGAGATATTTATTAATAAAGCACTGCAATGAGAAATTATTGAGTAATAATAGGTTGATTTTTCTGGCACAGAGAAAAAAAAACATCTGTATTGAGATCAGTTTCTTGGTCAGGGTGTCAGACAGCCACCAGGCCTTGGTTACACCCTGTACACTACATTTCTACACACACACTCCGATATAAACACCCATTCCTCTGTTTCCATTCACACACCCTGCTTATCAATTATCGCTGGATTACTGGGCTCTATATTTGCAGTGAGAACACGTCACGGGTCTCGCGCAGCAACGACAACAGAGAGCCCCCCACATCCACACACACATCTACACACACACACACACACACACACGCAAACAGCACTGCCGGAAAAACGCGCTCTCACCCAGCACAACACTCTGAGGATGGTGGTCGGCTGTTTGGCGAAGGTGATGGGGTCCACGGTGGACCCGGCCCGGCCCGCTCCGAACGATCCCACTCCGTCCATCTTCTGTCGGTCGCTCTCTCTCGGTGCGCTCCTCGCGGCTCCACGCTCCCGGCTCCACGGCAGGATGGATGCGTTGCTGCTCTCTGCTGTAGGGACGGGTCCCAGCGCGTAACACGCACGCACAGGCGCGCGGGCGCAGAGGAGGACGCCGCGTGTAAGAGGGCGGGGGGGCGTGCAGAGCTGACGTGCCCGCGCTGCTGACTGTGGATGAGCCATTTGGACAGAATTTAATGTGATTGTGCCAATATGGGATATTATATCCTGTTAAAATGATGGCCTGCAGGGCTGCCATAAAACAGAGTCAGCCACTGAATCAATGTTGAGCCTGTTGTTGGTTTGGTACCATCATTTGCTGCATGGGGCCTCAAGAGGACATATAGTTGGAGGACTCACAAAAAACATGTGGTCATAAAGGGATGGACACGGTCAGCAACAATACTCAGGTAGGCTGTGGTGTTTAAACCATGCTCAGTTGGTACTAAGAAAATCTCCCCCACACCATTACACCACCAGCAGCAGCCTGAACCGTTGATACAAGGCAGGATGGATCCATGACGCCAAATTCTGAACCTACCATCTGAATGTGGCAGCAGAAATCCAGACTCATCAGACCAGGCAACGTTTTTCCAATCTTCTATTGTCCAGTTTTGGTGAGCCTGTGTGAACTGTAGCCTCAGTTTCCTGTTGTTAGCTGACAGGAGTGGCACCTGGTGTGGTCTTCTGCTGCTGTAGCCCATCTGCTTCAAGGTTGGACAAGGTGTTGTTGCTTCAGAGATGGTCTTCTGCAGACCTTGGTTGTAACCAGTGGTTATTTGACTTCCTGTTGCCTTTCTATCATCTTGAACCAGTCTGGCCATTCTCCTCTGACCTCTGGCATCAACAAGGCATTTTGGCTCACTGGATATTTTCTCTTTTTGGGACCATCCTCTGTAAACCCTAGAGATGGTTGTGTGTGAAAATCCCAGTCAATACTCAGACCAGCCCGTCTGGCACCAACAACCATGCCACGTTCAAAGTCACTTAAATCACCTTTCTTCCTCATTCTGATGCTCAGTTTGAACTTCAGCAGGTCGTCTTGACCATGTCTACATGCCTAAATACATTGAGTTGCTGCCACGTGATTGGCTTATTGCGTTGAACAAGTGTACCTAATAAAGTGGCCGGTGAGTGTATCCCAAGGGGTCTCAGGAGGATATGACAAAAGTAAAATAAAAGTTCGACCCCATCTAAATATGAGGCATTTCAGCCATAATGACTGTAAACTACAAACAACATAATAAGTGAAAAATCCTGCCTGAATTGTTCAGTAGCCACAAACATTTTTATTAAGTAATGAAATGGGGCATGGAGAAAAGTCTCATGATGATGTACTTGTGCCAAATACCACAATAAACTAGTCACAGGTCACTTACCATGTGACACTTACCAATTACTGTGGCATGAATAATGACAGTTTAGCCAAACGTCTCAAGATGAAATTATGAGTTTCAGTGGGAAGTGATAGTTTTGTGAAAACCCAAGTGGTATCATTTTTACTACATGCATGACTTCTGTCTCGTCTCACACCACTAGAGGTCAGTAACATCTACCTCAAAATTCAGTATCTGAACAGTACAGTTCATTAACGGAGATAAACACACTCATATGGGACAGGAAGTGATTCAAACCACAGTTGATGATGGTGGTTGTAGCTGTACAGTAATTGGAACAAATACATTAACTCTTCACAGGATCACGATGACAGTGAAACAAACAGTAGCAGCTGAGCATTAGACTTGTTTGTCTCAGTGTGTGTCCTCTGCCGGCTCCTTAAATAACAAATTCATGATCAGTGTTTATTAATAACACAGACAGATAAGGTCACATGGCCGAGGTGCTCAAAGGCCCTTGACTGACCCTGAACTGCCACCAATTACCCATTAACCCATTATCTGACTTTATGCATAGTTTATTTTATAACGTGTAAATTATATGTTACCAAAATGATTGTTCAATATGCTTATTTTGTTCAACCAGCAGCCAAAAATCAATTTACAGTGACATGGATTAAGGAAACACAACTAAATGATCACTTTTGAGAAGCTTTAATCAACAAAATATAGATATTTGTATTTGATTTAATGACTTAAATGATCAATTAATCATCACTGTAATCAAAAATTACATAATGACTAATTCCAGCACAAAATAATGCAAATAAATTAACATATGTTGCAGGTATAACACCACAAAACACACATAAACACACAATCTGAGTGTTATACAGTGAGGAAACATTCTGTAATCATTATGTAAAATATATATATTTCTCTGACACAAAGTTTTAGTGAAAGCTCTAATTATTCCCTGACAAAATGAGCATTGCGTAACAAATATTTTTTGTCACATGTAAGAAGTGATATTTTGTGTTGTAGTGATTCTTCTGGATTAAACAAGGCTTCAAAACACAACTTAGATCAGGGACGATGTGATTTTTGCCAAGTAGGACGTGTTCCTGGATCAACATTGCAGTCAGCCAATCACAGCCCTCTGACATCAGCAGTGTGCTGCTCCTGTACTTCTTTCAAAATGACTTTGTGTGCCTTCTTCAGAGCTAAGCTAGCTTACCCAAATTGAAGTTGGTACAGTGAAACAAAATACTCAGTGACACTGAACAAAAACCTTATAAGCTACTGCAGGGTTAGCTTGTTAGCTTGCTAACTAGGTTGACTATGCTAACAAGTAAGCTTGCCAGTAGGCTATGCTAATGAGTAAACTTGCCAATAGGCGAGAATATAAGCAAGCTAACTAACTAATATTCTAATCAATCAGCAAGTTCACTTATTAGCATGGCAAGGCTAGTTAGCAAGCAAACTCGCTAATATTCTAGTCTATCAGCAAGTTTACTCATTAGCATAGCCAAGCTAATAAGCAAGCTTACTCGCTAATACTCTAGTCTATCAGCAAGTTTACTCATTAGCATTGCCAAGCCAGTTAGCAAGCTATCTTGCTTATATTCTCGCCTATCGGCAAGTTTACTCATTAGCATAGCCAAGCCGACTTGCTAATATTCTACTCTATCAGCAAGTTTACTCGTTAGCATAGCCAAGCTAGTTAGCAAGTTAACTCGATTATATTCTCGCCTATCAGCAAGTTTACTCATTAGCATAGCCAAGCTGACTCGCTAATATTCTACTCTATCAGCAAGTTTACTTGTTAGCATAGCCAAGCTAGTTAGCAAGCTAATTGCTAACCCTGCAGTAGCTTATAATGTTTTTGTTCAATGTTACTGAGGATTGTGTTTAATTGTATTAACTTCAATTTGTAAAACTAGCTCAGCTCTGAGGAAGCACAACACAATGTTGAATGAAGCGCAGGAGCAGCACACTTATGATGTCAGAGGGCTGTGATTGGTTGATTCCAATGTTGGTCCAGGAGCATGTTCTAGTTGGCAAAACCATGTTGTGCCTTGGAACAGACCTGGGGCCTGTATCACGAAGCAAGATCAACCTTTCCTGGGTTACCCTGACCTATCCTGGGTTGACTAACCCTAACAATGGCAGTCAGGATAATCGGTATCACGAAGCTGGATATCAACTCGGTAACTCAACCCAGGATTGCTTTATCAAGAGCTGTGAACGCGCACGCAGCGGACCAATCACAATCATGAGAGAAGCACAGCATCACTGAGCGTCCTCACTGAGCGTCCTCACAGAGCGCCGTATGTGAGGGAAAAAAGGTATTTCTCGTGTGAGGATCAGAGATTAATTCTACTAAAATATGAGGAAGAGAAAAGCAACATTACAGAAAAGGCCAACACCGTGGCAGCTGCAGGAGGAGGAAACATGCGTGGCAACGCATAACGGGATGAATAATATTTAGCTTTAGTTTAGATTAGTTTATTTTTACATAATGTTAAAAACAGACAGTATAAAATTTACAAGATTAAAAAAAAGAAAAGTGCCGGAGAGGTTAGAAGCCACTAAAAGCTTATCAAAGAAATTCCCCTGTCAAAACATCAATGAAATCACATAATAGACAAGAAAAAAAACGTGTCAGGAAAGAAGAAATAGAGGAGGAGAGAGGGAAAAATCAAGACAAAACAAGGTAGCAAATAAAATTATGTGTAGGTTAAATTACTCATCACTGGTTCAAGTAGCTGCAGTACCTGTACCTGTACATCTGACACTGATCACACCCTTGAATCCCATGAAATCAATGCTGCGCAGATGAATTGCGTGTATTACAATTATCGTCTAACATCATTGCGTCTGATAAATTGGTCTTCTTTGTCATAACGTTATATATGCTACAATAAAGCTTAAAGCTGACGCCACAATTAAATCATATCAACACCAAATTGATAGTCTGAATAAAATCATCGTGATATTGAGCTGTGTTAGAAATTAACAGCTGTGCAAAAATATACCTAGTCTCCCTCTTTAAAAAACAAAAAGGAAAATCCCTCAAACACCATGAAGTGTAGACATGATAGGCTACTTTCCACACTTCCAATAGCAAAGCTGTCAATTAGGCCCATTATCTTTAACAGGGATCATTTCCTCCAACAAAACAAAATGTTGGCACTAATATATTAAGTGTCCGCAAAAAATCAGTTTCTTTCTTATGAAGGGGTGGGATGAAATTTTGACTTCTTTCCACTCCTTTCTGAACAATCTTTTCATTGTCTGTTGTTGTTGCTTTCTTTTCTTTTTTAATGTTCAAAATAAACTTTCAAATCAAAATCAATCAAATGAATTAAACTTCCCGTCATGACTGGGCTGCATTTCTGTCAGCAGAGTCATTTTTTTCCGAACAGCTGATTGGCCAGTGGGTGGTGCTTTTTATAGGATCAGATTCAACCCTGAACTTACCCTGCTCCGGAGCAGGATAGCCGTTCAAAGTAACTATGGTGATCTACCCCGATAAGAACTGAACCGGCTTCGTGAGACCAAAAACCCAGGGTTAACCCTGAAGTTACCTCGCTAAGACATTAATCCTGCTTCGTGATACAGGCCCCTGGAAACAACATTTTAATGGCAAAATGTGTTTGTAACCAACTCAAAGCTTTAACAGACACATCAGGGCCACACTGGTTAAAAATACGTTTTTCATTTCACACAAGATTTGATGCAAAATTTCAGCAAACATTTGTGTAGTAACCTTTTAAAACACCCCAATAACTGGAATAAAGACGTTCAGTGAGTCTTGGCTCTGATCTGAGAAACAGAGAGGGATACTTTAATTTTTATTACCAGATCAGTTATTAACTAACCACAAAACAAGAGTCTGAAATGTACCACACAGCCTTTCTCTCTTCATGTAAAGTTTCTCCACAACAGAGATGTGACCTCTGACAAAGAGTTTCTCCTCTCCATTCTCACATCTCTTATCGCTCAGTCACAGGAGCCATCTTTCCATCCATCTTTCCACCTCTCGTCCACACGGGAGCAGTCAAACTCAGGCTTGCCCAGCCGGACGTTGATGTCATTGTGGATACGACAGAACCACTGAGAAAGAGCGTGGCGACTCCTGGTGTCTGGCTGATTGGTTTTCAATCTGCAGAGAGGAAATAGTGCATTTAGAAATGGCTTCCTTTTGTCTAATGGCATTTTTAAATGTGATAACTGCAGATCTGTTAGCTTAGATGCTACAAAACCTGATATGTGACTGTCTAAGCACTGAGGTCTGACCTGCCCCTGAGGTCCTCTGCACATTCCTCACACGGGAAGAACTTGGAGAAAAGGTTGATGAACTGCCCCATCTCTTGCTGCTGGGTCGCAGATGGACGATCGGGGTAATATGCCGCCATAGTGTGCAGGAAGGACCAGGTGTTACGCCCCAGCTCTTGCCGGTCCAGCGGGCACTGTGGGTCTTGTTGTGGCTCTGGCTCTGCAGCTTGGGTCTCCTGGTGAGTCATACAAGCACACATAGCAGAGTCAATCAGCTGGTATTTTAAAAGGGAACAGTCGGCCAACTGCATTATGGTTAATGTTGTGGTTACACATGCACTGCTCATATCCTGTCCTGAAAAGCCTGTTTGTGTCTTGAAGATTGGGATCAAGTTACTTTATTTATATGAAGTCATCTGCCTCTCAGGCTCTTCTTCTGTGGTGCCATCTTCCAGTTGATTTTAGACTTTCCTCTTTAATAAAGCGTATAGTTAGGGCTGGCTCAGGCCTGCCTTGAACCAGCCCCCTAGTTAGGCTGATATGGCCTAGTCTGCCAGGGGACTTCTTATGATAAACTAAGCTCCTTTTCCCTCTTTCCATTTGCAAACATTCATGTCCCATTAATGCATGTTAATAACTCTGCTTCTTCCCCTTCCTCCGCCTTTGTGCTCCGGTGTCTCGCAGGTTCCCTCGGGTCGCAGTGGGGCCTGGATCATGGTCATGGTCGTGCTGCTGCTGTGGTCCTGCCTGATGCCTACTACTACAACTATTGTTATTAATCATACTTCTGCTATTACTACACATGATTATTACTGTCACATACATATACAAATATATATTTATATGTATTCTATGTATCATTTTTTCATTTGGATTACTGTAATTTTATTATGTTGATCTGTTCTGCACACACAACAGCTACTGCACGTCTTTCCGTCCTTGAAGAGGGACTCAACTCCTGGATTCTGTCTTCAACTTTTAACTTTCAGACATTGAAGTGTAAGTTTTTAAAATCTAATAACTAATTTATGATGAAGGGAGGGTCAGACAAGGAAAAAATATCTATAGCTTCAGGTAGGGTTAAAAAAAAACAACAACAACAAAAAAGCCCAAAGTCACACTCCAGCCATCCATGGATATTACATGTACACAGCATTCAAAGCAGGACCCCATTCATTCCTGTGAAAGTAGCTCAGTGGTGCCTGAAGCCAAAATTGCTCTGTTTCCGTGGTATGAAATTACCTGAATGTTCCACATTATGAGGCCAAAAGAATATGCGCACTAGAGACTGACGAGAGGTGAGTGCCTGACTTCCAGGTTAGCACTCTGCTAATTTGCATGGGGATACAATGATTTAATCTTACGGCTCTACTATACCTATCAAATGCTGTCAGACACAGTGGATTACATTTCATAGGGGGTTTTTGGATGCTTAAAAAAATGTATCCACTGATTTACAGACGTCTGTTTTGCAAAGCGAGTCAATGGGTGATGATCTTTTTGGATCCCATGGCCTCACATGATGATGTAATTCCACTTTTAACCACTACAAAAATTGGCTTCAGAGTTCAGTGCTGTTGTTGGCGGCGTGCAGCCACCTCTCTACTCTGATAAGTAAAGAACAGTCCCTTATTAATAGAACTGAACTGAAAAGCGTTAAAATAGATGTGTGCATCTGGCATGACAGGGTGAAAGTTAACAAGCATGAAACATTGCGTCATGATGACTTTACAAACTCTACAGAAGCACGAGGGAGGACAAAACTCTAGCACATTAAAAAATATATATATTAGTGTACAAACTATTATCTAGTCCAGCCAAACTTTCCGACAGTTAGAGTAATATTTCTACTGATCCTCCTTGACCTCTTGTCACCTGTACAGCAGCTGTCGCCTGTTTCTTCTGCACCTTCATCCAGGATTTAAAGTCCGTACACGCTCTGCACGGCTTCTTCTTCACGTCCCCGACCTGCTCTTGCTCTTTACCGGAGCTTTCCTCCGCTGGTTTACCGGCCACCGCAAACGGGAAACCTTCAAACCCGGGCGGGCTGGAGGCTGATGATCCTCTCGGTGCTGTGGGCGCAGCCATGTTCGCTTCCAATATATTACCTAATAATTTGACCGACCTATCGATACAACATCAGCAATGTCCGGCTGTTAAAAGGCAGCGACACTCCACTGGACACATTATCGATTATTAATATTTTACTCTACCGTGCGGATAGTTTCATAATGAGGCTGCACACTTCCCGGTTGATGTGAGCGTTAACTACATGGGACAAATTGTGTGTTACAGTGACTTTCCTTGTTTCCGCCCGGACCTTTCATGGTCACGGAACAACTTCCGGTTAGTGATGTCAGTTTTCTGTGCATGCCGCGGAGAGTAGCGTCTGTAAAGTGTAAATTTCTGTCATATTTCAACATTTTAAACAGTTGACATTTCGTGTGGTGTATGCGGAAACTCATTTAAACCTCTGTGTTTCGATTCGCTGTTTTTAACGCGGTTTGTCAACTGTTAAGAGTCACTGGTTAGCAGGTTAGCCGGGTGGCTAACAAAGCTAACAACTGTGGAGTGACACGTTTCTTTTCTCTGCTTACTTCTCTCTTGACAGTGGAGCTGTAGCACACTTGAACTGCCATAATGGGGATCTTGGAAAAAATCGCGGAAATAGAGAGAGAAATCTCTCGGACACAGAAAAACAAAGGTAAGAGAGGGCAGTGGCTAGGCTAACTGTTAGCCACACCACAGGCGAACTTGAAGCCAGTTGACTCTGTGCATATGTGTGTCAGCTGCCAGTGTTGTGTTACTTATTAATCACACAGAAATTCAAGGAGAGGCGCGTTAATTGACACCTTAAGCTTGATTACAGTTGGCACCACAATTAAAGGAACAATCCCAAACAGCCAATAGGCCCTAATGAATCAAACACTTCAGTGTGGTGGATCTGCAGGTGTTACAGTTTTATAGAAGCCTCTCATCACTTCTCACCTGCATTGTTCTGGAGTCAGACCCCTACTTTAAAGGTCCGGTGTGCAGGATATAGGAGGATATACTGGCAGACGTTTAATATGATATAATAAGTATATTTCCTTTAGTGTATTAACACCTGAAAATAAGAATCTTTTGATCTCATCACCTCAGAATGAGCCTTTATATCTACATAGGGAGCAGGTCATTGTCTCATGAGATGGCCATGTTGCATTGTCATGTTGCTACAGTAGCCCAGAATGGACAAACCAAACCATTAGTGTTGTCACATCAGCCATTGTAGTCAACAGCCCTGTGATGAGCAGTGTAGGAGAAACGCTAATTTTGTTCATTTGAAACTGCTTTATTCAGTGTTTTTACTGGCTTAAATCAGCAGGTCTGTTTGTTTTGGGAAGGCCGAGACTTTTGCGGATAATTTAGCTCCCGCTAAAAATGTCCTGAATGTCTGTAGCTATCTTAAGTTATCACAGAAAGAAAGGTAGACACATTAGTAGGTGCTGCAGGGCTTCCCACACATTCATTTGTTTGTGGCGGCCTGCCACGATAACATCTGCCACCACATACTGATTTCTTATTTTTGGACCTGGACCATTTATTAGAGGTGCTGTTGGAATACAGTATATAAACCATTCCGTTATTCATTTCAGTACACTCTCAGAGTGCAGAGCAAACTCTGGGCACAGACAGAGCAGCAGAACACCAGGTTCAGTGAAAATTAAATTTAGTCCTTCTTGGTCCAAAAGTTTGCTTTCAACAGCTGCTCCTCTCATCTGTCAGTCTGATCAGCTCTGATTGGATTGACTGAAAACTCCACAAACTGCTGCTAAGGAAAAAAAAACATCTCATAAGGAGTTCTACCTGTGCTGCATTCACGGCTCATAGATTCTTATTCTGTGGGAAAGCTGAACAGTGTTGCAGAAACACTGATTTGTAAAGTGATACTGCTTTATACTGTGTTTTTACCAGTTTAAATCACCTGGTCTGTTTGTTTTGGAGAGTAAGAAACCTCTGTGGATAATTCAGCTCCCAGTAAAATCTCCTGAACATCTGGATCTTAAATTAACATAGCAAAAATTGAATGAATGAATTCACAGGCTGGCAACCTGTCTGTGAAAAGCCAAACAGCCTTGGAGAAACAGAAATTGTATTTGTTGTAAAGTGAAACTGCTTTATTCCACCTGGTCCTCTGTTTTTATGAGAGGAAGAGACCTCTGCGGATAATTCGGCTCCTGGTAAAAACCTCCTGAACAATAAACACTTAGGAATCCTAAAGGAGAAGTCTCAACTTATTGCAGTCTGCAGTCGTCACTGCTAGATGCCAGTAAATCTCGAAACACTGTTCTGTTAATACATTTTGAGTCACTTCCTTGTTTTTTGTTCTTTTTTTTCATTCATTTCTCCAGCCACTGAGTACCATTTGGGTCTGCTCAAGGCCAAGCTAGCCAAATACAGAGCTCAGCTCCTGGAGCCGTCCAAGTCGGCGGGGGCCAAAGGCGAAGGCTTCGATGTCATGAAATCAGGGGACGCTCGTGTTGCTCTTATTGGTTTTCCCTCTGTGGGTAAGGTACGTCAACATGGTGGGTCATGGAAAGAAATTATGTCTTTTTACTGTCATAAAAATGTTTCCTTAATCCTGTAGTGTATCTGAAGTACTACTAACCTAATGACAAAATCCTTGAACAAAGCTGCAAAGATTCTTCTCGTGTTGAAAGGCACCAGAAGTGAAACATGATCCAAAGATTGAACATGTGCTCGTGTAACTGACTCCTCTGTTGTGTCCTGCAGTCCACCTTCCTTAGTCTGATGACGTCAACGGCCAGTGAAGCTGCTTCCTATGAGTTCACCACTCTCACCTGCATACCTGGTGTCATAGAGGTAAACACACTCACACCACTGCACGTCTTGTAACAATGTGTGTGTAACTATGAGACATTTACACTGTTACTTGATGTCTTCAGTACAAAGGGGCCAACATCCAGCTGCTGGATCTGCCAGGAATCATTGAGGGTGCTGCCCAAGGTACGTTCAGGTTTCATGTTTTGTGTTTTGTTTGGTTAAACCCAAAGTGAGCGGACAGAGTTCTGTTGCCTCTATTTCGTAATTATGGTGTTATATCAGAATTATTAATAAATGACGATGTGTGTTGAGTTTTTAATTTAGATACTGTCACTCACAATGATAAGAAAAGGCTATATAGTGGTTGTAACACGCTGCCACTGTGACTTTTTGTAGGCAAGGGTAGAGGTCGGCAGGTCATCGCTGTTGCCAGGACAGCAGACGTCGTCATCATGATGTTGGATGCCACCAAAGGAGATGTCCAGAGGTGTGTGACGCCCACTGTGTGTGTGTGTGTGTGTGTGTGTGTGTGTGTGTGTGTGTGTGTGTGTGCGCGCACGCGCGTGCGTGAGTCTGTCAGAGGGTGTTTGAGAGCCATACGAGTATTTTTGTGAACTAATTCTTGCCTTTAATTTCTTTTGTATCCTTTTAGGGAACTTCTAGAAAAAGAGTTGGAGTCAGTCGGCATCAGACTCAACAGGACGAAACCAAATATTTATTTCAAGGTACATTTCTCCTCCAGTGCTGGATCCAGTCCTCTTTATACAGCCATCTTTGATCCCCACCGTGAAAGTGTGTGTCCCGTAAGATGTTAGTCATCATCTGAAACATGCCCCATATTAGATAAATGGTTGTGATTGGCCTGTCTCGAGCCAGGTTGGCTGGAAATCTGTCTGAACAGAAGAGGGACCAGACGCAATATTCAGAGTGAATAAACATGAACTTGCAGATTCATCTGGTTGCTATGCAAAGTAAACTGTGAGTCAGGGAAAAAAATGACAGATGGTTGCTGTAAATAGAAATTAGATAATCAATTAAGGACCCTGTGTGTGTAGAGATTACAAATATGTGTCAAGGTGCCTTGCTCTGATGTTAATAGGCCAATAAATGTGTGATTTATCTCTCTGTAGCCCAAGAAAGGTGGCGGCCTCTCCTACAACTCCACAGTTCCTCTCACCCACTGCTCAGAGAAGCTTGTCCAACTCATCCTTCACGAATACAGTATCCTTCACTCAGTCGTTACCTCAGTGGTCTGTTTATTTAACGTCTATTCTTTTGTGATGTCCATGGACTTGTCAATCAGTCACAGCAGTATTTGGTTGATTTCTTTAACCCCTTCTCCTCAGAAATCTTTAACGCAGAAGTCCTCTTCAGGGAGGACAGCACACCGGACGAGTTCATCGATGTCATCGTCGGGAACAGAGTTTACATGCCTTGCCTTTATGTACGTCACCTCGCATCATCTGGGTTTTGTTAATGGCCTCGTACCTCCAAAATTTTAAATGTATTGAAGCCAAATTCCAAGTTCAAACTCATTTTTAGCTTGTGTTCATTAATCTAGAGTCTCCTTTTTTCCCCCTCATATTATTTGTGGTTTTCACAGGTGTACAATAAGGTGGATCAAATCTCCATCGAGGAGGTGGACCGCCTGGCTCACAGACCTCACAGTGTTGTCATCAGGTCAGATATCTGTATGAGCCTTAGTTGGAAGATGTCATCTTTTCATTTATGTATGTATTTATACGGGAGTTAAACAGCTTCTCTGTGTATATTTCAGCTGTGGGATGAAGTTGAACCTGGATTACCTCCTGGAGATGTTGTGGGAATACCTGGCTCTGATTTGCATTTACACAAAGAAAAGAGGAGGTACACACACACACACACACACACACACACACACGGTGTCATTCACTCATTACACTGACACAAGCACCTGAACACCTAAAGGATTGTATTTGTGTTAACTTCTTCTGTTTCCATCAGAGCGCCCAGACTTTTCTGATGCCATCATTATGAGAAGAGCAGCAACTGTAGAACACGTGGTAAGTAAGAAACACATGAATTCGCACATGTACAGTATGTGACATTTTTGCAAATACGAGCGTTTTGCTTTCTCCCCACAGTGCCATCGAATCCACAGAACCTTAGCCAGCCAGTTCAAATATGCCCTGGTTTGGGTAAGTTCAAGTTTTCAGGGGCAGTGACCTTCACAAACTTAACTCCAGTTCCTCTTGTCCCATAAAATGTTTCTCTCATGTTGACCTACTGAGGATAAACAGCAAAGACTGTGTTTAGATGTCA